CTGCTTGATCTTGAACACTTTATTTCTGGAAATCCTTCCTCAAAATGACGCGGACGTCAGAGGAAACAACTAAAATGGCTTCTTAATACCGCACACGTGGTATCGAGTCTTTTGGGGATATATGTATTACATGTTGTGTCGTCATAGGCATGTTTCTTTTTTCGAATGTGTGGCTGAAGCAATGAATGGGTACCCGGTAGGAGGAGATCGTGACTCCTTACCTTTTAGTACCTTTTTGGCGGCTTGGGTATATATGTACTCCCCAGGAAGAGAGAATAAAAATCGAGTGCACACTATTATGTGGCGACTTGTGCATGCTTTCCGGTATTGAATCGATGCATTAGGAAAGAACACAATTATATTATCATTGTTACAACTATGTAAAGAATTTGTCAGCTGCTATTATTAGTATGATGCCAAATTATCTCCCCTTTCTTGTACCTGTCACAGCGTAATGCAGCTATCTATTCTATGCAGTACAATAAGTTTTAGATATGTAGTATTGCAATGATATAAAACAAATGCTTAAACATGAACCTCCGCATAGGATACACCATGAATTGCCAGGATTATGCCGACTGCCAAAACCGCGGGGAAAAGCTCGGTGATCATGTATACAAACGGGAAATTTCAACTTTTTTACACTGGGCCGTGGGCAATCATCTTCCAAGAGATAGAGTGGTAGGCACCAATGCATCTGGAATGTTCTAAACTATTCAAAGCCTGAAAGTCCGTCTATGTAGAGCAACAATTAAAAGAAATGTGTCAAAACAATACATATTACAACAAAATGCTAAACGAAAAGTTTTGCCAATTTCCTTGTTATATCGTCTCGCTTTTCATGCATGACAATCTTTTCCTGGTGTTGCGTACACGCACCGCAACTGATGGTGACAAGATAACGTTTCGTGCTTTAAACGCCTCAAGTCATAAACAGATTAGGGGTGGGATAGTCATCTACCCACAATGATATCGCCGACGGTACTCGTCCGTATTAGAATGACACAAAATTACTTCCCATCCTTGACACCGTCCCTGTCTCCAGCCATGAAGCCAACAATAGTGTTATCATAATGTAGCGGCCATAAAATTTCCGAGTCCCGTGCAGCGATTCGAACCACGGACCTTCTAATCCGAAGTCGGGCGCCTTGTCCACATGACCAAAGAGGTTAACCCCGTCAGCAAGCTAAGGATGTCATCTGTGGGATGACTCCACGCCCTGCTACATACTCCCCCGTCAACAGAAGGCACGTCCCGAGCCGCGTAGTTGGGTACGGAGACTTATTTTGCTCAAATTTGACATGAACATGCTCAGACGCACGTTGGGCGCCAATGTAGCGGCCATAAAATTTCCGAGTCCCGTGCAGGGATTCGAACCACGGACCTTCTAATCCGAAGTCGGGCGCCTTGTCCACATGACCAAAGAGGTTAACCCCGTCAGCAAGCTAAGGATGTCATCTGTGGGATGACGCCACGCCCTGCTACAATAACACTACTCATTACGCACTATCGCAATAACGCACTGCCCTTACTACTTCTACTTCTACTACTACTACTACTACTACTACTACTACTACTACTACTACTACTACTACTACTACCAACAACACTACTGCTACTACTAACAACAAACCCCTGAAGTCCGGGTTAGAACAAGTCCAGTGCAGACTCGATTGTTTATAAACCGCCGCCATATAGCTGGGATATTGCTGAGTGCGGCGTTAAACAACAAACAAACAATTCTACCAACAACTGACCCAGAAGGTCCGGGTTAGAATGAGCCTTCAGCAACCCATGCTTGTCGTAAGAGGCGACTAACGGGATCGGGTGGTCAGGCTCGCTGGCTTGGTAGACACATGTCATCGGTTCCCAATTGCGCAGATCGATGCTCATGCTGTTGATCACTAGATTGTCTGGTCCAGACTCGATTATTTACAGACCGCCGCCACATCGTTAGCATATTGCTGAGTGCGGCGTAAAACTAAGCTCTCTCACTCACTCACTCTACCAACAACAATACTACTACTGACACTGCTACTCCTCCTCTTCCTACTACTACTACCACTGCATCTACTACAACAACAACTACTAATACAGCCATTAAGGGCAGCAGAACGAAGAGCAACAACGCTCAGTCTATTACGAAACACTCAAAACTAAAACGTTTCCTTGATCTTAAAGTGTACAGTGCATGTTAGAGTTTTCGTGCAACTGCTTGTACAGGCTTTGATAAACGAGACATCCTGGACGTGCACGCACGGAAATAAGTGATTTGATCTTTGACGAGAAAGGAAAGGCAAGAGCTATACGTCTGACTGCTAAGCCCTTAGCGCAGTATAGCTGCACTCTAACAGAAAACGGAAGCTAAGCTGAACGCCTGTTCAATTAAATAAACTGCGACACCAAACTAAACAGCTCGAAAGGTTTTTTTCGTGGGACTGACATGAACACTTTCACTTGCCGACAATGGTATACCAGCACGACATAATTACCTCTTGGCATTTATCAATTATGTAGAAAGGATTTTAGTCTTGGCTGCAAATTCGATTTGCAGGTAGTCAACGAAATATACCTTGAGGGAAAAACGAATGGAAACAAATTGCTTTCTTTTAAAAACAAACATATGATAGCTCTGGTACTAGAAACAGGTCATGATATGGTATTATGAACAGGTCGGGTATTATGAACAGATCTTGGTATCACAAGGCAGATAACATGAACAACTCTTGTATCATGAACAAATCAAGTAATTTAAACAATTATTGAACATGGAAGGCATTTGTTAACTTGAACAGCTTTGGTGTATTACAGACAGGTGTGGTTCATGATCACGTCATGCACTATGAAAGTATCTGATACTACGAACGGGTCTGATATTATGAACAAGTGACGTTCTAAGAACAGGCTCGTTTTACGGAAAGGTATCGATCATGAACAAGTCTTGTTTTATGAACAGGTTTTGGAACGTGAGGAAGTCTGGTTTTCTGAACCCTCCGGGTATTATGAGCAAGTCTGATACTAGAAACAGGTTTGTTACACGTCAGGTATCATGAACACGTATGGTGTTATTAACACGTCAGACATTATGAACACATATGGTATACTGAACATGCCAGGTGTCAAGAACAGTTATGGTATTTTGAACACGTCAGGTATCATGAACACGTATGGTATTATGAACATGTCATGTATCATGAACACGTATGGTATATGAACATGTCAGGTAACATGAACACGTATGGTATATGAACATGTCATGTATCATGAACACGTATGGTATTATGAAAATGTCAGGTATCATGAACACGTATGGGTATATGAACATGTCAGGTAACATGAACACGTATGGTATATGAACATGTAACATCGTATGGTATATGTATCATGAACACGTATGGTATATGAACATGTCAGGTAACATGAACACGTATGGTATATGAACATGTCATGTATCATGAACACGTATGGTATATGAACATGTCATGTATCACGAACACGTATGATATTATGAACATGTCAGGTATCATGAACACGTATGGTATATGAACACGTGAGGTATCATGAACACGTATGGTATATGAACATGTCAGGTAACATGAACACGTATGATATATGAACATGTCAGGTAACATGAACACGTATGATATTATGAACACGTCAGGTATCATGAACACGTATTGTATTGTCGCTTTCTTTTAAAAACAAACATATGATAGCTCTGGTACTAGAAACAGGTTATTATATGGTATTATGAACATGATTGTCAGGAATTATGACCATAGCTCGGGTACTAGAAACAGGTCATGATGTGGTATTATGAACATGCCAGGTATTATGAACAAGGCTAATGCTATGAACAAGGCATTGTGAATAGGTCGGATACGATGAACAAGTCACTGCGAACACGTCAGGCATTGAGAAACGTTCACTCTCTTCTAACCAGCGGTGTTGTTTTGAAAAAGTCATTCATTTTGAAAGCCTGAGGTATTATGAGCAGGGCAGGTAATGTGAACCAGGCACTAGCGGGACTGGATATTGCCATAAATTAACATTTGGATAAAACTGTGAAATATCATGAAAAACCCATGCGTTTGATACCATGAACAAATCATAAACCATAAAGAACTCGAGATGATATAAAAAAAGAATCCGATTCCTTAATACATAGGATACAGCATACAGAGTGCAAAGTGTGCATAGTAACTGATTCGTCGTCAACAAAGTATCTCTTGTGGCTTATGAATTGTACTATTACGTTTACAGTGAGTATCGAGGTGATTTAATGATTGTCACATTCGCCCTACATCCCAACTACAGTGAATCTACAATGAGAAGTGTGAAACTGGCGTGACAGTCTGCACCTGGCACACTGACCACGTATATGCCCTCACCACAGAGCTGACAACACATGGTTCTTCACACCTCGGTTTCACTAGTCATAACATAGTTGTAACACTATGGGCTGTCCATTGTATGACACATGTGCACATTTATTGTACAAGAATCAAACCGGGGAATTATGCAAGGAGGAACTTTTTATGGTAAAAAATGAAATTTTACATATAGTGAGTATACATGTAGAACTATACTTAAAATCTCACCAATTCCGATTGCCAGCAGTGCGAGCACATTTGATAGAGGTGATACTACCTCGTTATAATGTCAATATGATATATCTTTGAAGTTTTTCTACTTCCATAACGCACCTTAAATAACACACGTGTAATTATAGCATGATACCTCGTTGGTGAAATGGAACAAATTTTAAAAATAATTTACTTTATAAGGCAATAGTATTTCTTAAGGACTACAGGATGTTAAGAAACTTGATGGCCCCACTTTTCACCTGGAAAAGAATTGCGGGTACATAAAGGGTAGAATGGTAAAAAGAGGTAAGAACACTTGTTAAAATGAAGAGCTACCTCTTTCTCTGTAATTCCCAAGAACCCAGCTTCATCTATGTCAGCTATGAAATGCAATCAATAGAAAACGGCACCTACCTTGGCTATGTGTGTACCGTGGTGTGACGGCGCTTCAAGAGACAGTAGCGAGGGCGCTCCCGAGTTTTATCGGCTCGTGGACCGTCACTGGGGAGGCTCCGCTGATACCGGGGAGCAGGCAGGCGTACTGCTGGAAGCACGGAGACTGAGGGTGATGCAGGGGAAAGACGCGCTAACGGGCAGCAACCACTTGCAGTTGTAGGTGGGTAGGACGGAGGGCAAAAGGTGGCGGGTAGAGGGTGACGGAAGGGGGTGAGTAAGTGACAGCGGGCGGCTACCTTCTCACCGGGATAAGGACACACAGGCCCCACGCAGCCTCGTTTGAGATGATCTTAGGGAGCGCTTGCTCCTACCTCCTCTTTCACCCGTACGTGAAGTAATCAATAGGAGGCCGTCACACCGTCCTTCAGACTGTCCACGTCTCAAAGACCCCGTGGCACTCAAAATGCTTACGTGACGTCATTATGACTGTACCCACAGGTGTTTCTGTATAAACTCCGCTCATTACATAACTCCAGAGAATTTGACAACTAAATATAAAATCAGTTTATCTTCCTTCAGGCCGAAGTAAGTAGAAACTTGACTTTTCCTTTAACAGATGGAATACAAAAGCAAATGTATTTACTTAATTATATAAAATACAAAACAACACAAAAATGGTCGAAACAACATACATGGAACAATTTCTAGGAAGGTTCGGTACTGATATGTTGTTTAAGCTTCTTTTTGAAAGTATATAACCGAGTCCCTGTGTCTCAAAATGGAAAAAAAGATAAGATGAGATGTAAAAGAGATGTCCAAAATTGATAGATGATCAGTGAGAAATGTATCAGACATAACATGTGTAACATTCTGCATGAGTAACATCACTGTCAGCAATAGCATCACAATTCATTTATCATTTTCTCCTCAATTTATCATTTCGTTCTCAATACATCACAATTGATAAAATACTTTTATCTCTTCCAACTGAATCAAGTTTGGAACCCCCAACTGTACTGCTATGGTGTTACTTATGAAAGGCTACGAGGGTATGTCAATCATATATCGTATGCCAGTATGGTGACAGGAACCGGCGACCCGGCCTTCACCTAAACTCTCTAACACCTTCATAACAGTCATGACCCAGATACTAGGGCTGCGTAATAAACCGGTTTACCGGTATTTACCGGTTCAGACATGAAAACGATACGTATTGCGATACGCTGATCGAAAACCGGTATTTTGACTTGCATTCGGAAAACTTCGTAACACTCGGAAATCTTCGGATATTTCCTTTTTTTATTTGTGCCAAATATTATTCACATTTTTATTTTTAATCACGAATAAAAGTTGTTATTAAAGCTTAATGAAGCACAGTTATTTTGCTGTGTATTTGCTCTATAAATAAAGCATTACCTCGATTATAAGTAGTTTTTGTTTAAAAATACTTCATGCAATATATTGCAATACATATCGCAATACATGCTTTCGCATCGCAATATATCGCAATATGAAAATTCTCTGCAATACACACCCCTACCAGATACGTGCTTGAGTTACAATAACGCACATTCGCCCGTTTTTAAACCGAGCACCTAGTGTCACCTAACATCTTTCTAACTGTTTTTGTTTGTTGAGATTCCCCACATAAGGCACCATCATGGCGGCTCAATCACAGTCACCTGTAAATAAACGCGCCAGGCATTGAAGACAGTGGTTGATATCATAATAGCAACGTCCAACGCTGTCTGGAAGAAAGGCAGTGATATCACAATAACTGGCATATGCAGGTTGTGGCTGTGTTTACCTGTGACATGATATTAACCTGTGACAGTTTAGTCACCTTTCACAGTTTCGTGCTTCGGGTCAGTTACTTGCCAGTAATTGACTTCAACCTTGAAGTGCCAAGCACCTTTTCATGGAAATGGACAAAACCAAGCCTACATGTGCCAATGATATTTTAAAAACTATAGGGGTAATCATTTGAGAAATATAGATGAACAGTTGCTCACCGTCTGACCAGTCACATTCGACCATTAAAAGTTTGATTAAGGATGAAGGAATTTCATCTTAAGAGAGACAGATGCTACACTTTGTAGTCCACCAACCGTCACCACCCCAAAAGAAAATTTGATGCCGGCCATTGTGTGGACCAGTGGTTTAGTTTTATAACCAACACGTTTAAATAGAACTGACGGATACAACGGGCCGGTTTTACCGCCCTGGCAACTTGCTCTATATATTAGTCGAGATAATTCCCTATGAGTTCGACATAACCGTCGTTTTCTGTACGGAAAAACAGGTGCATTTCAACCCAAAGACAGGAGGGCTCTCGCAAATGTCAACAGAGACAGCACTTCATGGGTATCTTACACATGAACTTCAGATCAGCTTTGTTCCCCGTTTGTTCAGCTGACAAAGTCTGAAGGGATGAAGGAAGGCTACACGAGTAACAATCCAATGTCCTGTTAACCAAATAACAACGCAACCCGGAAGATTTGTATTTTGGCTAGTGACTGGTGATAGGATGTGGATCCATCATAGCAATCCCGAGATCGAAAAAGGAGTCCTTGAAGCGGAAACTCTTCCGGTCTCCCAAACCCAGGAAGTTAAAACAGAAGCTACGAAACCCCCTCAGATCCATAGGAAGAAGCAAACAAATCCACTAAGAACGTTAAGGCTACCAGGAAAGGCATAATACACATTGATTGCTTACCATTGGGAACTACAATTAATAGTGGTTATTATGTCAACGTATTACGCAAATGCATCATGAACAAACGTCGCTGCAAACGTGAACGGTATGTTCTAAATCAGAACAATGCATGAATTAATATCATCTGGATAACAGCTTCTTCTCCTCTCGCATCCAAATAATTATCACTATTCAGTTTGAAAAGAGTCACTTGCATTCTATTAGATTTAACTGGGACCAGTAATTGGATGCTGATGTAGAGGTCTGGTTGACCGACCAGAATTTAACCTTTAAAAATATAATTTGTTCCATATTCATGAAAGATCTCTGCTAACTGCAGAGCCAATTGCACAATTCCGATCTTATAATCAGGATATGATTACGAATGACTTTCAAATCGTGAAATCATGTTTCTATAAATGTTGAGAAAACACCTGTCACAATTTATGCAGTAAACTGTCGACCTTGATTACAACAACTTTACAACACTGGGACATATGTTACACGTCAAATTGAGGATCATCTGTTTTGTCACTGATGCGTCGAATTTGGAAATGTCCTTCACTTGTCTCATAAGGCCTTGAACTTTAAGCAACATTAGAACAAGAGTCATAATTAAGATGCTCCTTGAAATCCTTCTAGAAGGGAATATTGGATGATGGAAATTGAGAAATGCAGATGCTAAACCATAGGCTGCAGTTGCTGGACTATTGCTCGATATATATTGATAGACTATTGGAAAGTTGTCATCCTGATTGTCAGTAGTCTTGTAATGAGTTTCTTGTCACTCTGAATCTATAGATCTGAATATGAAACGAAGGAGTTACACTGATCTCTTATATTTATAGCTCAGGTTGGTAGATCGATGCAAAGGCATGGGATATCTGATGGTTATTTAACAATATCAGAAAGTCGATCTACTTAGGTTTAACATATTGGCCAAATCACCCGTAACAATTTTGCCAATCCGAAAAAAGTATTTCCGATTCACGTGCATACAGTGAGCGAGTAAAGTTTTATACCTATTATATCAATATCCCGCCAATATAACAGTGGGGGACACCAGAAATGGGCTTGACACATTGTACCAACATGGGGAATCGAACCCGGATCTTCGGCGTGACTAGAGAACGTTTTACCACGAGGCAACCCCACCGTCCGAATTTGCACACAGGAACAGATTAGCAGGAAGAATTCGAAGAGCACAGTGGCTGCCGATGGAGGCGCTTGACGTCTTGCCTGTACGACTCACCCATCGTACACTAGGTAGTTCAGCATTTCACATATTGCTTTACGAACAATGGTATTCGCTTTCTTTTTTTTATAATTTTTCAAGATAAATATGTAACCATATCGGTGGCCACAACATTTAGTAAATGTAACACAACTGTACCGGTAATAATAATGCGAGGTCTTGACAATCCAGAGAAACAGATTCCGTTCTGGTTAAAGGGCATATGGCTTTGACATTTATATGAATGGACCATTATAAAACAGTTTGACAGGTAAACACGAGAAGTCGTGCAAAGAGTTGAAAATCCACAGAATAGAATGGAATGTGTTTATTTCGAAGATTGCATAAAATTCAAGCAAATCTTCCGAGTTTTTTAACCTCTACATAGTCTTAATTCCAATTGTCCCAAATACTTCCAGTAAACATAAACATTAATTCTTTATTTTATTAAGTAGTCTGGTTCACCTTTGAGACATGAATTTGGTGTTACATTTGCTGGGCCCAGCATTTCATATCATTTTTACGGATTGTAAAAGAGCTTTGGAATCAAGCACTGAAAAGGTTCAGTCGAAGGTTGATAAAATGTGGTTTTGGAGGAATCATTCATCAGTGAACACACTGGTCTCGTGTGGCATTATTGAGTGTCACATGTACCAAATTCCTTGACCAAATGATTCATGTAGCGACCTAAGGGTAATGTTATTTCAGGCCTAGTCTGTGGGAACTCCACCTACTTCTTCTGTTGGGCAGGCAGACTCGGGCAGGTACAGGATGGGTTTATGTCATGCCTGTGTTCCCATTTCCAGGTCGTGCATTCTACAAATAACGTTAACAACACACCCCGACTTAGCTAACAAAGAAGGCATTCAGCAGGGTTTCCCCAACTTTTAGCCAATGTATCGCATATGCATGAACAGCATCCATGATAATTTCATAGTTTAGATCCCAATTTGGTCACAATATTTTGGTGCAACGTTTGATAACCGTAGAAGGTTGTTGTTGTTAACAGTAGAGTAATGGAAGTTACATCATCAACTGCCCAGTTATGCAACACGTCACTTTAAATATACAACCTGAATGAAATACTGTTCGTATAGAAAACTGCAGTGGTTCGTGGTTCCTGAAATATGAACTTTTGTGGGTCGTTTGGGGAAAACGTATTTTTGTCTGAGCACGTTTCTACATTTGTAAATTTGAGACCCAGAAAACACACTGTCTTTGTCTGATTTGAAGTCTTTGTTACGCTTTTGAAATCAAAATGTAAAGAACTTTACTCTCTAGTCGATAGTGAAGGCTTTTTGTGTTTTGTAACCACCCATCAGCAAAAGTCGTTTGATTTCTGTTAATGACACAAGGATAAAACTGACCAGAGGAAATCCTTGACTCAAAACCCTTTGAAGCTCACTCGTATTTCGCC